TTTGTCTGAAAATTTCAGGGCAGATAGATCTTGACCTGATAATCAGTTTTACCCGATGTCAGATTTACTCGAAATGCTTTGGTTTCAGAGATATAAGCCAAAATCTACATTTTACCCCTATGTTCTATTTTTAGCCATGGTGGCCATCTTGGTTGGTTGGCGGGGTCATCGGACACATTTTTTAAAATAGATACCCTAATAATGATTGTGGCCAAGTTTGGTTAAATTAGGCCCAGTGGTTTCAGAGGAGAAAATTTTTGTAAAAGCTAACGACGACGGATGATGACGGACGCCAAGTGATGAGAAAAGCTCACTTGGCCCTTCGGGCCAGGTGAGCTAATAAAAAGGAGGACAAGAAAACCCAGCGAGTAAAAGTACTTGCAAGTCATGAACATTTCAGTTTTAGTTGCAATCAATTTTAATTGTATAATTTTTTTTTCATGAGAGGACTGCTGGCTATTAAATTATTAGTGCATATATACATTTTAAAGCCGGTTTCTTTAGGCTTTTGTTAATAAATAACTGCAAGCTAGGGTTCTGTAACTTTTATTCAGACATCAATATGTAAATATAATGGATATGTAAAACAGCCCTGTAAAATATAAATGTACTTATAAGTTACAGATAGATAACTCTGTATTTACTAAGTAATACAATATTTTACAATTACAATATTTTATTTTCCAAATTAAAGGACCCATTAAGAGCATAACATTAATAACAACATGACATAAACATTACAGAGTGATTAAAGAAACATAAAATAATAGTTCAAATGCACGAGGAAAGGGTCAGTGGTCAAGGGCAGATAATTTTGCTATCTATTTAACTAATTTTCTGATTTTCTAAGTTGCAGGCCTTTATCAAGGTATGCACATAAAATAGATCAAAAACTGCTATCTTCATTACTCATGATCCATATAAAAAAATCATTTCTGTTTAAATTAACTAAACTGGGGTATTTTTTGATATAATCAGTCATATCTCTTCTGAGGTTATTGTAAAGAGGGCATTCCAGAAGAAAGTGCATTTCATTTTCAATAGAATTTGAATTACAATTTAAACATATCCTCTCATGTCGAGGTAATATTTCATCTTTACCACATACATTGATAAAACGTTCATGTCTGCCAGTTTCTATTCTTAAATAGTGATTGCAGAGTCTGTATTTTGTTAACAAATGTTTTTGGGGGTGCTTTAAATCTAAATAATTTTCATAGTCAAATGACCTCTTGAATGAAAAATAAGTGTCCAATTTGCCTTGATTCTGTAAATAAAAATCTCGCATTTTCTCCCAATCATTTTGAAAATTTAATTTGAGCTGTTTTTTCAGTAAATTTTTAAATTTATTTTTGCCTTAATTTTTACATATATTTAGGTCAATCCCCAATTTTTCGCTGTAGAAAATGATATTAGAGAGCCATGAATTATTAGTAATAATAATTAAAACTAATGTTCATAATTCGATCAGTATCATGTGAACTTATTTAGTTACATATACATGTATCTTATTATTCTAGTCACAAAAATATATACCGTGGATACCATTGCAAATACTTGTCTCAATTACAGTTATACCAATTAGACTATAAATCATAGTACATATCTTCGTATGCTGTCTCATACCAAGTTCTTTTATATACTTGTGTTGATAACATAAACTACACAAAAACATAAGCTGCGTGCTTGGTTAAATTAAAAAGCAAATTAGCACAAAAAAGTAACAATATAACAAAGCAAATATTAAAAACTAAAGCTAAGCGAAACAAGAATAAACTTATTATAAAAAGAAAACTAATAAGTTATCATCAGCAATTTTTATTGAGGTTTACTGCTAATGTTGACAGATATTCTTATTAAAGTGTTTACTGAATGTCAAGTGCAAAAATATTTCATGCATTTTCAACAAAAAAATTTTAATACATAGAATACTATAATTAACTTTTAATCGGTACTGTTAATCATAGATTATATCCTGGTTTGATGTAAGAGCAAGCGGATAAGAAAAATTGTATGTTGATTATTATCTTATTTTCAGGATATACAATAAAGTACAGGCAGTGGAATAAAACATTTATTTCCTTTGGCTATCTTATTATTTGTAATATATACTGAGTTTTAGTTATTGTGTTTTTGGCTAACATCTAAACAATTATAATGAATAGATATGTAGTCAGAACAGCTTTTAATATGATCAGCTTGAAAAGATCTTCAAATAAGTCAACATGGTTAATATCATCAGTGGTATGATCTTATAGGAGTTATTACCCTTGAATGAATGTTGTGTTTATCGACTTTAGTAGATAGAGAGAAACCATAGAAATAAAAAATGATCAGCAAAATTAGACCTACAAATAATCATTAAAGTGAAAGTGACCAGAATTATCTGTTTTAATGATGTAAAATAATCATATGGTCACCAACAATGTTTTGATGTATTATCCAATAGATTACCTAGTTGGTAGTGAAAACGTAAAAATCCACATTTTACAGCTTACAATGTGATGACATTACGCTTATGTTGATGTTTTGTGGTATTTTTTCACATAGAACACCACTTTGAATTAAGTATTCTGTGAAAATGAAGCCAATGACCCTATTATTATTTTACATCATTGAAACAGAAATTTATCATGTTTATGGATAATTTTTATCACTGCAAAAGATGGTAAAATAAAACAAATACATGAATTTTATTTGATACATGTACTGTCAATTCAGTTGCACTGTTTAAATCACCTATTGTAGCAAAGATATTTGTTGTCCATATCAGTCAGAACACTACACTTGCTTACTTAGGGGACATCTCAAAGAATTTAGGCAACTTAAGCTCACATGTATTTTTACACCTTCTGTAGCAACAACAAAAAAATGCTAACAAAAATCCAAATTAACTTCCTGAAGCACAAAATGCATTATAGTTTTTATATACATGGTAGGCTATAAAACTTTTGCAGTTGCACAGCTAGGTGTGTTTGTACTCAGAATAAATTAGTAATTTTTGTCAGTTATGATGAACCTTAATTATAAGGATTATGTGTGCTCTTAGGGGTAAAAGAGAGCCAAAATCGTATTGTTAAATCTTTTCTTTTCAATTCTGATTTAGACCTTTTCATTTTTATACCACCGCAAAAAATTTGCGTTCATATAATGCTATCATGTCGGCGTTGTCGTCCGAAGACACATTTGGTTACCGGACAATAACTTGAGTTTAAGTGAATGGATATCTATGAAATTTAACCAGAAGGTTCAATACCACAAAAATAAGGTTGGGATTGATTTTGGGGGTTATGGTACCAACAGTTGAGGAAAAAGGGGCCAAAAACAAGCATTTTTGTAGTTTCCAAACAATAACATGTGTAAGTGTATGGATCTCTCTGAAATTGTACCAAAAGGTTCCATATCACAAAGGGAAGGCTGGGATTGAGTTTGGGGGTAATTGCCCAAAACGTTTAGGAATTGGGGGCCAAAAACAAGCATTTTTATAGTTTCCAAACAATAACTTGTGTTTAAGTGTATGGATCTCTCTGAAATTGTACTACAAGGTTCCATACCTCAAAGGGAATGCTGGGATTGAGTTTGGCGAAATTGTACATTTTTCCTGAAAAGAAAATAATCTTCAAAACTAAAAAAAAAAAAAATTGGGGAGGGGGGTTCTTATTTTTTTTATTCAAAATTTTTGGAATTGAAATTTTTTTTTTTTTTGGGGAATGGGATTTTTTTTTTCCAATTTTTATTTGGGGGGGGGGGGTCATACTTTTTTCTTCAAGATTTTTCAAAATTTCAAATATTTTCAAAAAAATGTTTTTTTGGGGAGGGGGGGGGGGGGGGGATTTTTTTTTTCATAATTTTTTGTTTCTTTTTTCCCAAAAAATTTCCATTTTTACATTCATTATTTCTGATTAATTTTAAAGAAGCAACAAATACTGACATGGCAGGAGATACACACCAAACAGGGTGTGTAAATTATTATATATAACAGATTAACTAAGTATTGTGCAACAGCACAGTATTGCGCAATAGCAAGAAATCTTCAATTGAAAATAAATACAAATCTTTTAACCAATTTCAATGGGATTAATCTAAAGTCTTTAATTTTGGGGAGTTTTAACCTTGTATTACTGTTTTGGATATTGGGCCCCATTTTTGAATAGGTCTACATTGAGGTCCAAAGGGTCCAAAGTTAAACTTTTTTTTATTTCATCAAAAACTGAATTATTGCAGCTTTATGATATGCTGAATCTTATTGTGCATTTATATTTATTATTTTGGGCCCTGTTTTCAAATTAGTCCATATCAAGGTTTGAAGGGTCCAAAATTAAACTTTGTTTAATTTCAACTAAAATTAAATTTTTGGTGTTTTTTATATGCTGAATCTAACAATGTTGTTAGATTTTGGATATCAGACCATAGTAGGTAAATTAAATGTCCCATTTCAAATTTTTAAGATCTTTGACCACATTTATTTTGTGTCAGAAACCTATATTATGTCAAAAATTTGATCACAATCCAAATTCAGACAGTATCAAGTATTGCCCGACCTCTGCGGTCGTATCAGGCTGCTCTCGGCGAAGCATTTTATTATATTATGCATATATATGGTGTTCAGCAAAACATTGTTAAAGGAAAACATTCACTTTTACTGTTATGACCATGCACTTTTTAAACTATCCTTGTTCACATTCTGTTGTCCCTTTGACTGGCCAGGCCCTTAATCTGAAAAAACTGCTGATTTTATTAATTTGTATGAATAAGAATAAGAAGAAAATGAATATTTATTGAATCCAATTAAAGGGCCCGTTTCCGAGCATATACATATATATATAGTATTAATTATACAGTAATTTTTAAAATATATTACCTTAAAAATTAATGTATGTGTACATGAAGTTTAATGTTTGTTTCCTTTTGAGCACTATCATTTGTGCAGTAGATTGAATAAACCATTACTTACCATATTTTACTTTTCAGATAAAATGATCCAATGTAGATCTGTACAAGTTATTTCTCTGTACAGAAAATTACTGAGGAAGGGGAGATCACTTCAATTTACAGACAAAGAATACTATTTCCAACGAATCCGGTCAGAGTTCGATAAAAATAAAAACTTAGAGAGGAAGGAAGATATTCAGAGATGTATTGAGGTATTTTGTAAATGCTATTCATTTCATTTGGCAGACAAACTTTCATATTGATATTCATTTCTAGCAAAGTCTTTTCATCCTTCTTAAATTTAAAGTGTGGTCAATATTCAGTTCTCTTTTTTATGTGACAGATATATACATATACATTTTTTTGCAAACTTTGAGTAAGATCTTAGGTGGTCTTTTGTTAGCATGCCTGTCTCCAGTGGCAGTGTGAAGGGTTATTGGTTAGATCCCAGTCTGAGTCAAACCAAAAACCTGAAATTCATATTCGGGAGAGGAGCAGGCCACCCCACACCTACTTATGGAGCTTCATATATGATAAATGTATAGACTTTTTACAAATATCACAGGATACATTTGCCAGGGGGAGACCTTCCTTTTTCAAAATCCTGGATACACATCTGATCTGATCTTCCAAAACAAAAACATTTGAACCAGCCAGAAAGTTTTTTCCAACCTTGTTTTAATCTCTTGCTTTTGTAACTAATGGCATTCAGGCCAATCAAGGTACTATATAGGCAGATCAATGGTAACCGTACGGAATTTGGTCACAACACCTGAAAACAGATACTTCATATTTTGATGGTAGTTCGTTTACTGAACAGTATATACAATGTATGTTGAATGTAATGCTATATATATCTGAAATGATTTTCTTATATATGTATTGTGTTATGGATGTGATGCTATGTATATAATTTCTAGAAAGAAGATTGTATCTCAAAATTTAATATCTGTGTACCTGGATGCTACCTAAATGAAACTTGTGGGGTAAACACTGAGACTGACTTGTACAAAGCAGAGTTCATATTCATATCACATTTACATGTTCTCATGCTGATTTGCATTTAATATTCGTTTATTGGACATTATTATACACCCATCTCTGGATAAGCAGCTATTTGTCAAAATCCCAGTGAACTTGAGAACAGATCAGTTTGATTATCCTGTGTGTTCTTTTGTTGCATAAAAAAGAAGATAATTAAACTCAACAGTTTTGAGGCCAAATATAAATTAAATGTACTTGGATTAGTTAATTTAGTATCAAGCTATATTCACTATTGCAGTTATTTTTTCAAAATATGGTTTTACATATTTGTAATTGTCTATTGTGGAGCTTAGTGAATAGTTTCATAGTTCAAAAAACTAAAGAACTGAGATGGATAATGTCGTTGCAAAATTTAAAGGCTTAAGTGCATTAGACATAAATCTTTGTGCACTAAAAGTATTGTTGTATTTTCAGAAAGGACAAGTTTTTCTTGAAAGAAATGCATTAGTTTAAATAGACAAATTCAGCTAAACAAGACATTAAAATGCACAATCCAGACCTCCATGCTGACTTAATATTAGCAATTCAAAGTGGAGATAACATTGTTGTAAAATCTATATTGGATATCGGATGTGACCAAGTAGCTCTAGATACTGCTTTGTGCTGGGCAAGCCGTTATGGCAACATTGAAGTTGTTCAGAGTTTATTACTTAATGGAGCTAACCCAAATGCACAAGTCTGGGGAGGATTCACCCCACTTTTATGGGCTGCTATGTTTTCACCCAATGTGAATGTCTTAACTGTATTGATAGAAGCCGGTAGCAATGTTAATTGTTTTTCAAATAAACGTCGACAAACACCACTACATGCTGCTGCCATCAGGGGAGATAACCTAATGACCTCAATGCTTTTGGAATCTGGTGCCAATGTGGATGCTCAAGATTACATGTACAAAACACCTCTTCTGCATGCTGTATTGAAAAATATTCCATCTTGTGTAAAAATACTTCTGCACCATAACTGTAATGCTAACATGAGTGGATGGTATAACGGGACAAGTGTGTCACCACTAATACAATCATTAATTCAGAACCAGTTGGAAATCACTAAAATGCTTATTCTGGCTGGTGCAAAGTTTAACAAGGAAGCTATATACCAAACATACACTATCAATCAGTATTACCATACAGCTGAAAGCTTTCACTTTGATGTAAGACCAGTTTTTCTTCAGCAACAATGTAGAATCTGTATTCGTAGTTTACTGAAACCTAAATTTCTTGAAAAATTGAATCAAATGCCCTTGCCAACAGTATTAAAAGAATTTCTGAGCCTAGATGAATTGAAATATATTTGATTGCGTGTTTTTAGTTTGAATTTATAATTTTTGACATTGATTGTTTTGTATTAAGAAAAGATTCAGATTTAGTAATAGAAAGTATCAATTTATAATGTAGCTCTCATTTTGATGTACATATATATATACAAAATTAAATACGTGTATTATTTACAAATATGTTTTTTTGAGGTCATCAAATCTCTTTGTTTATTTTATTCAACTGAATAACTTGAAATCAATAATTAGTTGATACTATCTTCTCATGAAAAATTATTATGGGATGGTACTGAATTTTAGTGAGATACACTATTATGAAACTAGAAAGAAAACAACAGAAATCTTAACTTAAATATGAGATTATAGCTCTCATTTTAAGAATATTAAAATTATTACTGGGATCACAATACTAGTTTTCTTGATGCATAACAAAATACATATGTTGATAAATTTACAGTACCATCTTTTTTTAAATTTAAATATCTGAATTATCTCCCCTTATGAAGCAAGTTTTACCTTGATTTAAAAAAAGGAAGTTTTTGAACATATTCAACATATTTGAGGTTTATCTTACAAATTATAAAATATAATTGGCTTTTTCAAACACAAAGACATGGCTAGCTTCTGATACAATACATTTGCTTATTCAGCTTTGCTCTTTCAACACGTTTCAACAGTATATGGGCTATGTCAAAGATTTTGGAAAAATTTTGCATACAACTCGTTGGCTCGTTAAATAATAACTTAGGTCCAAAAAATGATGCACTTTATTTTATTTTTAAAAAATTTACTGAATGGATTATTTCAAAATAAGCAAACAAATGTATGGGAAGCACATAAAATCGGTGAAAAACTTTATCAAATATGTCTTTAAATCTTCAAATCTCCAATTTCAAATCCATAGATTTTTCTTTAAAATTGATATGTTGTTGAACCAAAGATGTATGCAAATTTTTACCTAAATCTGTGACATAGATTTACTGTATCTTGTATTAAAGATACTAACAGTTCATTTAGACAAGTATCATTGGAGGAAGTTCAACTCACTTTTCATTCAAATGCATTTTTTTTTTTTTTTCATATTATGAATTAATATTCCTTTTTTTGAGAAATAATTATTTTAACCAAATTGTGCTCTGTAACTTTAGAGTGATTTTGGTGAAACCTTCTCCACTATTTTACAATAATATGTTACTATAAATACAATATAGTTCATTCAGTTATGTGATAAACCATTATGTGTTGTTTGTTAATTTTGCTTGAATAAAAGACATTTCCATTTTGTTTTATTTTATGTATTTAGATTTGTTTAGAAAAACTTCTTTGTTTTAGTGCAAATTAAGTTTACTTCGCACCAAGATATTGACATTAGAGTTCCATAGAGAACTATACTTTACAAGAAAGGGACAAATTTAATTTTTCAATAGCTCTTAAAATAAAATGCTCCACTGGGGCGCAGCTTGATACAACCGCAGAGGTCAAACCCTGAACAGTTGGGGCAAGTATGGACACAACATTCAAGCTTGATACAGCACTGAATTTGGATTGTAATTAAATATTTGACACAGCATAGGTTTCTGACACAGAATGAAAGTGGTCTAAGAACTAAAAAATTTTTAATTTACCTATTCAAACCATATCATTATTATTTGCTTTTATATATAAATCAGAAATAACCAATTTAAAATGGAAAATTTTAAAGAAAAAAAAATCCCCCCCCCAAAATTTTTTGAACCCCCTAATGATTCATCACCCCAAACTCAATCCCAGCCTTCCCTTTGTGGTATGGTACCTTGCAGTACAATTTCAGAGAGATCCATACACTTGAACACAAGTTATTGTCTGGAAACTAGAAAAATGTTTGTTTTTTTTTGCCCCAAATTCCTAAACGTTTAGGGCAATTACCCCCAAACTCAAACCCAGCTTTCCCTTTGCAATATGGAACCTTGTAGTACAATTTCATAAAGATCCATACACTTACACACAAGTTATCCTGAAACTAGAAAAATGCTTGTTTTTTTGCCCCTTTTTGGCCCCTAATTCCTAAAATTTGGAGACAATTACCCCCAAAATCAATCCATGCATTCCCTTTGTAATATGGAACCTTGTGGTATAATGTCAGAGAGATCCATACACTTAAACACAAGTTATTGTCATGAAACTAGAAAAATGCTTGTTTTTTGCCCCTTTTTGGCCCCTAATTCCTAAAATTTGGAGGCAATTACCCCAAAAATCAATCCCAGCATTCCCTTTGTGATATGGAACCTTGTGGTACAATGTCAGAGCGATCCACACACTAACACACAAGTTATGTCTGGAAGTTACAAAAATGCTTACAAAAATGTACAATTTCAGAGAGTTCCATAAACTTTAACACAAGTTATTGTCTGGAAACTAGAAAAATTCTTGTTTTTGGCCCCTTTTTTTACCCTTTTTTCTTAACGTTTTGAGGCAATTACCCCCAAACTCAATTCCAGCTTTCCCTTTGTGATATGGAACCTTGCAGTACAATTTCATAAAGATCCATACACTTAAACACAAGTTATTGTCATGAAACTAGAAAAATGCTTGTTTTTTGCCCCTTTTTGGCCCCTAATTCCTAAAATTTGGAGGCAATTACCCCAAAAATTAATCCCAGCATTCCCTTTGTGGTATGGAACCTCGTGGTACAATGTCAGAGAGATCCACACACTAACACACAAGTTATGCCTGGAAGTTACAAAAATGCTTATTTTTGGCCCCTTTTTGGCTCCTAATTCCTTAACTGTTGGTACCATAACCCCCAAAATCAATCCCCACCTTCCTTTTGTGGTATTGAACCTTATGGTAAAATTTCATAGAAATCCATTCACTTAAACTAAAGTTAGAGTGCGAAAACCAATGTGTCTTCGGACGACGACGACGCCAACGTCATACCAATATATGACCGCAAAAAAATTTTTGCGGTCGTATAAAATAATATCTCATAGCATTGTGTCAAATATGCTTGACACAGCCTAAATTACTTTTACTTTGACTTATCAACGACAGACCAAACTTATCAAGCCATCTTCTCGTTTTCTGTTAGGACAATGAAAAACACCCAAATAAAAATTGATTATAAGATTTTCATCACATTGTTAATGTAAAAAGATCTGCTTCTTGACACAATATTATGCCTTTTTGAACTCTTGTACTGTGCACACTTAACAAAAAGTTTCATATTGTAGTGGCTCACAGCTGATATTTTATAGCATCAATATGCAGAAAACTTAATAGTTATCAATACGTATTTCCCCATTTGATACACGATACACTATTCCTAAGTGTGTGTCATCTTATTAGGATTTCTTTAAAGAGATCTACAAGTAATCTACTGATGCAATGGTTATTCATGGTGAAGTGACTGAAGTTGATGTTAACTATTTGATAGGTTTATAGTAGCTATCATGACTTCGTAGGCTGTTACAGAATATCTGCATCTCAGATGACTACAAATTTCTTTCATGACCAAAAAAAAACCAGTATGATTTAAGACAACCACTGATAATTAAAATATCATATACAATGTATTAAAAAGGGTGAAGTTGAGTGTTAAAACAAGACCAATAACGGGTCATGACCTTCGTCACTGCATGGAATGGATTGAGGTAACATGTAAACTGAATCATAACTGATTATTTCCTTTCACTATTGACAAAAATTTTCCTTGTACAATGAGTGTTGTAAAATTTTGAAACTATTGGCAAACAGGAAGTAGCTACACAACAGAAGTAAAAACTGGCTACTCACTACAACTCAACATTATCAAGCTGCATACCAAATATTAAATCATTCCCTTCAATAGAAGCAATATACAATGAGTGTTGTAGAATTCCAACCTATTGGCAAACAGGAAGTGGATACATGGTAGCTGTAAAAATTGCTTAATCGCTACAACTCAATATTATTAGCTGTACACCAATTATTAAATGATGAAAATATGATTTCCAATTGCAATGGGAACTAAATTTCACAGTTTTATTATATGCATTTTTAACTAGCCGTGCCAAAGCATCAGTGTGAGCTATTGCCAACACTTGGCTTAAATCATTTTTAGAATATCCAATTTAAAATGGTGTTTTAGTATAACATGAATGGCTCTAGTTTTTCAGTCAATACATAGATGACCCAACAAGTGCAAAATTCATTAAATTTTCAAAGTCCAAAGGCAGTGATCCTGCAAAACATTAGTCAATTGGAACAAAAGGCAAACTCGATCTGTAAGTTATCATTACAGACTAATGTACCAAATATAAGCAAATAAGTCATATGATAGTTGTAACACAACTTGACACCAGACAAGCTTATGTATTGAATGCTGTTTTGTATTTTCAATTACAATTAAGATCAATAACAGGACACTGTTAAAAACAAGTAAAACATCAAAAATAACAGTAAATTTATTTTCTTAATAGAAATAAAACTTCTAGGTCTTCTCTGTTTGTTTGTCAATGTTTGTATCTTTCCATTTAAGTTGCATTATTTCTCTCGGAACACCTGTTATAAAAAAAAAACAACATCCATACCTTCCATAAAATGCAACAGCCTTTATTTAATTTTAAATATCACATATTTTTATGTGATAATATAAAAATAGCAGTTCCAAGATTAAATGAAGAAAATTATATTAAAATATAAAGAAAAAAAATAGCTGAAACTATTTCATGTATATAATACAAAAATACAAATCTTCCACATATTCAGTGGTATTGAACCAATTCATATTTGCAGCTCCAATTTCAGAGAAATTTACATCTTTGAACATGCATGTTTTATTTTTTTTTGCATTGATGTGAAAATTTCAGCATAAAGAATAAATTTAACTATTCTTTAAGTCTCTCTGTATTAAGCATATCGTATCTAATTACCTGCTTCTATAGTTTTACATATCTTGCAGAAAAATTGTCCCTTGCCATTCGTAAAATCTTCAAATAGTCCTATGCCTCCTCCCACTCCAAAGTAGTTAGACTTTGCTGCTAAATATCTGCATACTATGTCAAGGTATTCCTTTTTAACTTTTGCAAAGAAAATTCCAATGAGACAGTGCTTTTAAAGCAGATATTCTTCATTCAATGAATAATCATAGATTTAGTCAAACTTAAGGTTCTTAAACTAGGGATATGTGTTTTAATTATTACAGAAATCCTTATCAAAAGCCAAACAGATGAATAGACTTGAGAGCGGACCCAATATGATCCCAAATTTGTAAACCCAAAGTATCGACAAAAAAATTATCAACAGCATGCAAAATTCAATTTCATTTTTTGTTACCAAGAATCATCATGTCAATTATAGGTTCAATTACTTAAATAGTTTCAAGATTTAAGAAACAAATGTGCAAATAAACTGTAAAAATAGTCATTTAAGGAAAATAACTCCTATCAGGAATCAACTGATGTTATCAATCAAAGCAGTATATGCTGTTAACACTTTCAATCTTTCTATTAAAGCTTTTAAGACAATAGGAAAAAAATTATAAAAAAAAAAAAAAAAATATTTTTAAGAGAATAAATTGCTATAAGGAGTTTATTGATAGTTTCAGCTATATTGGAATTTAAGTAAATCTTGTATTGCTGATAATTTTTCATAATAACATTTTCTACCGATTATTATTTTCAAATTAATATGCAAAATCCCTATTACTAGTTGAAAGTTATATTGGAACTGTTTAAAATATTGAATTGCTGATACTTTTTCTGGTTAAATGTTTCTGTCTATCACAGATTTTAGAAAATAGGCAAGTCAGGAGTCAATGGTTGTTTGTTGTATATCATATTAGTTTTTTGTTTATTGTTTTGGACATAAAACAGGCTGTTAGTTTTCTCATTTGAATTGTTTTACATATGTCATTTCGGGGCCAATTATAGCTTAATATCCAGTGTGGGTTTTGCTCATTGTTGAAGGTTGAAAGTTGTTAACTTCTATGTCATCTTGTCTCTGGTGGAGAGTTCTGTCATTGGCAATCATACCATATCTTCCTATTTTTATCAAAACAAGAAAATTCGTAAAAAAATATCTTTTATGGGTAATACCTCACACTTGCTATATGGGCATGGTGAGCTAAGAAGAAAATAACACAATGCATCATTTCATAAGTTTGATAGCAATTTGCTAAAAAAAAATGGTAGACTGAAATTATTACGTCATCAGAATCATATAATATGTCACTACTATCATGCAAAGGATACACAGTTCCCTGCTTATCAAGTTGACTTGTGAATACATCATGTAGTTTCTGGTAATTATCTGGATTATAGATGGTT